CCCCCGCAGCCCCAGAGCAGAGCAGGGCTCCCTTGCTGTGCCCTGCAGCGCGCTCTCCCACAGGCGCTGATCGTGGTGTACGCGTTCCGCTTCCCGCACCTCCTGAACCCCCAGATAGAGGGCTCCGCGCACCGGGCCCTGTGCCGGCGACACATCCTGCACATCGTGCTCCGCGGCCCCGTGCTGTGTTTAGCTGCTGCCGGCTTCTCCCTGTTCTTCTATCCCGCGGTGAGTGGGCAGCGGAGTGTGCCACATAAATGGGTCACAACTAGGGTGCTGCTGTGCCTGGGCCCCTGCACCCAGCGTGGGGTTTCAAGGTTTGTCATGTGGCAGCCTGTCAGGGTTCCCTTCCTTTCGGTCACCCAGTAATATCCCGTTGTGGGAGATGGTGCCGACGTGCTTGGCAGACGCGCGCCTGCTCTGAGCTGTCTGTCCTTTGCTGGCAGCGTTCTTTGACACACAGGTGTTCGCCTCGGGGAAGTGTAACTCACCTGTTTGCCTCCACTCCGAGCGGGTCACTCACGGTGGGACCCCTGCCGGGCCCTGACCTGCCGTGTGTCTCGCACAGTCGTACCTGCTGATGGCGATGGCTGTCTTCCTCCCCTACGTCAGCAAGGCCGCCAGCTGGTGCAGATGCAGGCTCCTGGGTGAGTTCCCACGGGTCTGCTCCCAGGGCCCAGGCACCCATGACGGTGGCAGGCATCCCTGTGGGATCCCCTCCCCTGGTCCTCCTGCTCTCGGCCCCTGGGGAAGAGGGCGGCGACGTCCACGCTGGCCCCACAGTCCCAGGGGCTTGGCCAGCTCCTTCCCGTCCCACCCACAGGCCCCCAGGAGCCTCCCGCGCCCAGCATAGAGTTCTTCGACCTCGATCAGCAGGAGCCTCTCAGCAAGGAGCGGGTGGCAGCCTTCAGTGACGGGGTCTACGCCATTGTGGCCACACTCCTCATCCTGGACATCTGGTAAGGGTCCCTGCCTGGCCACCCGACACCGCCCTGTCCACTTCCCTGCAAGGTTTGCCCTCTGCCCTCGGGACCGCCTCTTCTGTCCGCCACAGGCCTGATCTCCGCTGTCTTCCTTCTACTTCTGAGGGTTTTGTTTGCCTCTTTTCAAACTCCTTCCTCTTGGCAGTCTCCCGTTCCTTGGTCACATTTCAGTGTGTTCTCCTTCCGTTGAACACGTGCTGCGTCTGACAGTCCAGTCTTGATTCGCTCAGTTCTCAGTGACTCTTTGGTGCCGTAATTTGTGAATGTGTAAAAACTGGGAGGCAGTGTCCATTGGTAGTGCTGAGGCCTAGACCTAAGCTTCCAGAATGATCTGACTTTGCTTCCACGCAGCAGCCAGGGCCACCCTAGCTCAGGGAGCTGCTGTGCTTGGGGGCCCAGGGACGGGACATTCTCCCCCCGACCCTCCAAGACCCAGAGGCACAGTGCCTGCCCTGCTGGCCCTGAGCACCTGGGTGGGGTCCCCAGGCCGCGCGCCAGGCTCCGTGTCCCACCCCCACCAACACACGCAGCGCCGTGCAAGGACGGCGTCTCAGGTGCTCCCCCTCCACGGGGGAGAAGGGCCCCCACCAGGAGCGGCGGGCTCCAGGAAGGGGAGAAGCCGGGGGCTCAACATGTCTTAGAACTGCTCCCCACGATAGTGCGTGGCCCACAGATCAGAACCGCAGAGGCAAACTCCTCTCAGGCCTGTGGGTCCACCCCCGGAGACAGGTAGCTTCAATGGGACGGACAGACCTCACAAGCACCCACCCATGGCGGCCAAGGTGGCTGCGGGCTCTGGTCCAGCAGGCAGGGCTAGCAGTCAGCAAAGAAAATGTGGCATGCAGTTGAACTTGTGCAAGTGCAGGCTCGTGCGAACTGAGTGTGCCCAAGTCCCCGCCACCCACCTGAAGCTCCGGTGTGCCGGGACCCAGCTGCCTGGTAGGGGCCGCAGCCCTGACCAGACACCCATGGTGAGGCTGCTGCACGTGCCATCTGTTCACACCCACAGCGAGGACAACGTCCCGGATGCCAAGGACGTGGACGAGAGGTTCCACGGCAGCCTGGTGGCCGCGCTGAGGGAGTCGGGGCCCCGCTTCCTGGCGTACTTCGGCTCCTTCGCCACGGTGGGCCTGCTCTGGTTCGCCCACCACTCACTCTTCCTGCACGTCCGCAAGGCCACGCAGGCCATGGGGCTGCTCAACGCGCTCTCGCTGGCCTTCGTGGGCGGCCTCCCGCTGGCCTACCAGCAGACCTCGGCCTTCGCCCGGCGGCCGCGGGACGAGCTCGCGCGCGTGCGCATCAGCTGCGCCATCATCTTCTTCGCCAGCATCTTCCAGTTCGCCACGTGGACTGCGGCCCTGCTGCACGGGCCTGAGACGCTGCAGCCCTCGGCGCGGTTCGGGGGCCGTGAGCACGCCTTCATGTTCGCCAAGCTCGCGCTGTACCCCTGCACCAGTGTTGTGGTTTTCGTCCACCTGCT